ATAAGCTAAATTCAGGCTACCCTTACAACATGGCCTGTCTGATAGAGGTACATACCCCGACTACAAAGGCTCATTTTTTTTTTTTTAGATTTCTAAAAGTTGTTATTTACAAAGACAGGGGTGAAATATGTACTTTATGATATTCATTCTTTATTTACAAGCAATAAAAAACATGTTTTTGGTGGGAGAAGTGGACACCTGAGAATTCTGCACATACAAGTATAAATCCCGGCCTGTATATTTCAGTTTTTCTTTGACAAGGTTTTGAGGTACAGAAGAGTAAAAGGAAGCATTCAGTTGTTACAAGTAGGGGTTTCATAACATTATGTGCATATGCATATACCTCTATCACTACTTTAGTTCTAGTACATTTCCTGTTGTAGTTAACATTGGTTCTGCTGGATGATCTTGGTTTAGATCCAGTCAGATGGTGCTGTTGTCTCTATCTAAAACCTTATAGGAGGTTAGGGAGCAACTGAGGGTTATTAACTAGTCGGAAGGCTAGGGAGTTGTGGGGGGGGGGGTGGTGAGGGTCTAACGGGGTCCTGCCTGGTATGGTGGTTAGTCCTTGGTTCTTTATGTTCTGTCATGTATTCGGTGGTTCTGCATTTTGCTTTATTGTCTAGATTTCTAGGTGTCTAATCTAGGAGAGCTTAAGTGGTCTATTCTTCTGGGGATCTTTTCCAGAACCCTGTCCAGGGCTCCCATCTCTGGAGATATTTATGCCGTTTACCTATTGATGTCCAGTGGATGTCCTCTAATTCTCTGGTTCATTCTACCCTTTGTACCCACTGCTCTTTGGATGGTGTGCTGGTATTCTGCCAGTTTAGCGGGATGAGGGCATTTGCTTCCCCCAGTAGGAGGTGTAGCAACTGTTGCTTGTGGGATTCCGCAAATGTGCGGGGCCAGCTTAGCAGAACCTGGGAAGGGGTTAGTCGAGTCGGTGGTTTCAGTATTTTAGTTATTTCAGAGAGTATGAGGAGCCAGAAACCTTGTATGTCTCGGCAGCTCCACCAAAAATTTTCTATATTCCCTAGACCGTTAGAACATCTCCAGCATATGTTACTGATTGAGGGCCAGATTGAGTGTAGTCGGGTTGGGGTCCTGTACCACCTGGAGACTCTTTTATAGAAGGTCTCCCTGTGTGCTACACTGGTTGGGGTTTTGATTCCCATTTCCATGATCCCTGACCAGTCTTTGTCAGAGATATGTATTCGGAGGTCTTTCATCCAATTCCATTGGAATGACAGTGGTTTATGTTCCTCAACTGAACCCTGGAGGATGCGGTAAACTTTGGATAAGGGGCGTCGAGGGTCGCCCCCTGGGCCACAGAGGTGCTCAAAGGGTGTGTCTGCTCAAGAAGGTCTTAAGTTGTGTTCTGCCTGTCACCTCAATGAGCGTGTCATGCCTGTGTGGTCTATATATGGCCCTGACAGTGGGTGGATCTCCCCCGATTAGTTTGGTTATGTCTGGGGTGGGTGCTCCCATGAGGCAAGTAAGGAGTGGTCCCCCTCCACCTCCCTGAAAGTCAGGATTATCTGCTATAGGGAAGAACCTCGACAGTCCCGGTGACAGTCCCCATTGGTCTTTATATCTTCTCCATAATGTGAGGACGTTGTGTATGAGTGGGTGCCGTGTCGAAGTGAGCTTTGGGAGTTGGCATGTTTGCCATGGCAGAGTGTGTAGGGGGACTGGTGTAAAGCTCTGTTCTAATGTGTACCACAATTTATTCCTTTTGGCATCAGTCCATTCCTATAGCCGAGTGAGCAATACTGCAACATAGTATTTGTATAGGTGGGGCAGCCCTAGTCCCCCCCTGCCCGTGGTGGAGGTTAGTGTGGTGAGGGCTATCCTTGCTGGTTTGTTGCCCCAGATGTATTTGGTGAAAATTGTCCGCATCTGTCTGAAGAATGTCTCTGGGAGGGGGATAGGTAGGGCCTGGAAGAGGTATAATATTTTCGGAAGAATCATCATTTTCAAAATGCTGATCCGTCCAATTAGGGAGAAATAAGGTTGGTCCCACTTTTGGAGGTCTCGTTTAATATTGTCTATGGGGGTGGGGGGGTAGTTTAGTTTGTATAGGTTTTTGGGTGACGTGGTGAGTCGTATCCCCAAGTATGTCAGTCCTGTCCGAGTCCAAGGGAAAGTATGTCTGAAGTATGTTGAATTAGTGTTTGCAGGGTCGGTGGTACCGCAATCCCCAGTATTTCGCATTTGTCCGCATTTATCCTAAAGTTCGAGAGGGATCCAAAGGTGTTAATCTCGGTGTTTATGTGTGGTAGTGTTTTGGTTGGGTCTGTGAGCGTGAATAGGACATCGTCCGCAAAAGCGGATACCTTCACCTCTCATCCCTGATATCGATATCCCTGTATTTTAGTGTGCGCTCAGGATAGGCTCCATGTCCAAGACAAATAATAGGGGCGAGAGGGGGCAGCCTTGTCGAGTGCCGTTGCTTATTGGAAACGGTGCAGATAAGTGGCCGTTTACTCTGACACTGGCTGAGGGTCCCCTATAGAGAGTTTGTATCCAGTTCCTCAGTCTTGGACCCATCCCCAAGACCTCTAGGACCATAATTAAGTAGGACCAGTCCACCCTGTCGAAGGCTTTTTCAGCTTCAATAACCATCAGTAGAGTTGGTGTTTTCGTCACCATTGCTCCATGGATGACGTTTAGAATTTTCATGGTATTATCTCTAGCTTCGCGGCCAGGTACAAAGCCCGCCTGGTCAGGGTGGATTAGGCTTGGTAAAAGAGGTTTGAGCCTATTGGCAATCATTTTCGCCATTAGTTTTAGATCAAGATTTATTAGTGATATGGGTCTATAACTACCACACTTTGTGGGGTCTTTGCCTGGTTTAGGGATGATAGTGATAGATGCCCGTAGCATCGGAGGTGGGAGAGGAGTTTCATGGGTTAGGCCATTTAATGTTTTCAGAAAGTGAGAAGACAGTTCTTGTGTGAGTGTTCGGTAGTATCTCGCGGTCAGTCCGTCTGGGCCGGGGCTTTTACCTTTCGGCAGTGCCTTAATTGTGGTGAGTAGTTCCGTATGTGTAAACGGTTCGTCTAATGTGTGTGTTTGGTCGTTTGGGATCTTGCGTGGAAGGTTTGTCGAAATATATTCCCTCAGGTTGTGGGTCTGTATATTTGGGGGGGTTAGGTTGTATAGGTTTGTGTAGAAAGCGTTGAACGCCTTGGCTATATCTTCTGTAGTGTTGTGTTGTCTACCTGTATCATCTGTTATTTTGTCTATAAATGATCTCTGCTGTTTGGCTTTCAAGGCTCTGGCCAATAGTTTTCCACTTTTGTTGCCATGGGCATAAAAAGTGCTTCTTGTCAGTTGAGCGGATCTATATGCCTTTGCGGTTAGTAATGATCTTAATTCCATGCGTAGGGTTTCTGAAAGTTATCATTTGAGGGATCTTGTTTGTGTGTGGCCTCAGCTGAGTGAATGTCTGCTATGAGAGAGTCCGTTTTGTGGGTCCGTTCTTTTTTGATTCTAGAACCCCATTTGATAACTCCTTTATGGGCTTCCCAAACCCAAGGATCTGATACCTCAGTGTTCCCATTGTCTAAGAAATAGTTATCTACGGTCTGTCGCAGGTCGTCTAGTACTCTGGGGTCATCCAGGAGGGTTTAGTTAAGTTGCCAGTGTGTAGTGGGTTTGGGCTCTTTCTGGAAGGTGACCGTCAGGGATATTGGGGCATGGTCCGACCACGTGATGTTACCTATGGATGCTCCGTGTAATAGGGTGAGGTGTCTATGGCTAAGTAGAAACATATCTATTCTGGAGTAGCTTTTGGCTGTCTGAGAGTAAAATGAGTAGTCCCTGTCTTGGGGATGTAATATACGCCAGCAGTCCACAAGCTGATGGGTATGTAAGGCAGTGGAAAATACTGTTCTTTGGTGTTGTTTAGGGTCAGCGGATTTAGAGGAGCTATCAATTGAGTGGTCTAAGACCATATTCCAATCAATTTTAACCCACGTTTCTGTGAAAGTAGCATTGGAGGCTAGCAGTATCGCTACACCTCTGGTTTTCTTTTGCGTATTATTACTATAGTATGCAATATTGTTTCGTTTGGAGTGAATTCTTGGTTTAAACTCTCCCTTAAAGTGTGTCTCCTGTAAGAAGATTATTTCGGCTCCCCGTCTGTCTATTTCTTGTGCTAACATTGTGCGTTTCATAGGGGAGTTTAGTCCCCGAACATTCAGGGACATTAGTTTTGTTTGGGTCATGGTAGTGGTTCCGGCGGCAGAAGCTTATCTAGTGAGTCAAGGACTTTACCAGTGGATGATGTGCTTAATAAGATGGTAGTGGCAGGGCCAGTGCAGGGGGGGGGGGGAAACTGGGGAAAACCATAAACTATTTACACAGATTTGAGATGAGAAGGTCATCTCGGGTGGAGAGATTGGTGCTGCACTTCGTGACCACAAGTGGGTTCGGGGCGCCTCTCTGGGGGTAGTGGTCGGATCGCCCAACCGGGGGTACACAGGGGTCCCATCGGGGCAATCATGGGTGTCGTATAATTTCCCCTTACCCACCTAATCGGAGGGGTTTGTGGGGTATGCGTTAAGAGTGTCCTCGGTTTGTGCCCTGTGGGCCAGGCCGCTTAAGGCCATCAGGTTTGAATATTATTATTATTCTCATATTGTAGGGCCACAGAGCCCGGTAACGGCTACACTTGAAGTTTCTATATAAAACATAATATAACATAGCAGTTCAATATTGGCTACATGGTGTGGAGATTACTTAAGTCTATTGGCATGGCATTCTGAGGTGACTATATACGGCATAATATTGATTATAGAAAATAAAATAAAAAAGTAGAGCATAGGGGACATGAGTGTGCGGTTATACGACCATAACAGTTCTCAGGCTGGTTCTTCCCTGGTTGAAGCGCTTGTGTCTGTTCCGGGGTGGTTTTGCCTGCGCCTTTTCCTCGGAGATCTTTGCCACTTGGGCTTTTGTGGGGTCTGTATTGCCGGGTGGCCCACTAGTCCTGTCTAGTCCTCCACATCGGATGGTGGAAGCTTCAGTTCCCTCTGGAATTCGGATACATCTTCTGGTGAGGAGATAGTGTGGGTCTTCTTCTGGAGGTTGACTGTCAGGGCAAATGGGAAATTCCATCTGAACTTAATTTGTCTCTCTAACAGGGCCTGTGTGATGGGCCGCAAGGCTCGCCTTGCTTGTAATGTGGATGGTGCCAGGTCCTGAAATACAGTCACCAGTTGACCATCTATTGTTAGCTCTTTGTTTTGGCGGGCTTTACGGAAAATTTCCTCCTTTAAGGGGAAGTTGTGGATGCGGCAGATAAGGTCTCGTGGCCTATCAGGAGGTAGATTTCTGGACCCAGTGGCCCTGTGAGCCCTGTCAAATGTGATGGCTGTGTCATTAGGTCTGGCTAGGATGCGATTAAAAAGGGTGGTAAGGACCTGTATGGGGTTTTCTGTGAAACCCTCCGCACTTTCCGGGATGCCCCTCACCCGTAAGTTATTTTGGCACCCCCGGTTATCTACATCTTCCAGCCTCCTTTGTAGGTACCTTATTGCTTCTGCGTGTGTCTCCTGGGTGGTGTAGGATTCAGCCCATTGTTTGTTAGTGTTCTCTGTCTCTTCCTCTAGGTCTTGCACTCTGGCTTTGAGCTGTTGCACGTCTGCATTCACTGCCTGGAGTTTCTCACTGAAACTGTCCTCCAGTTTCTGAAACATTGCTGCCAGGTCTGATTTTGAAGGCAATTGTGTCAACAGGGTCCGGATCTCATGGTCCTCTGTGGAGCCTTCTGATGCCATCGGACTTGTGCCTCGTGTTTGTGCTGCAGGCGCCATTTTGTCCCGTCTTTGCGGGTCCGTTTGTTCGCCGAAATATCGTCTCAGGGAGGTTTTAGCTGCCGGTGTATCTGCTGTGGGGGCATTCCCCGTTGCATTACGCTGCTTTTTAGATGCCATTGGAGGTTTGATGAGCTGTGTTCCCCCTATATTTCCCGGTCAGGGTCCAGAGCTCAACGCTCATGCGACCATGTACTCCGGCTTCCAGGCCACGCCCCCGCCTGTATATTTTTGAGTGAAAACAAAATAGTTGTCTACTACAATTATCCGCACTTGTTTTTATTCCTTGTCTCAACATAAAAGCTTTTTTCAACTTGAATATTGCAATTCTAAAACATCTGGTTTCTTTTTAATAATTTAGCAGACGAACATCTGTTTCTTTCTGTTAAGTTGGCTTCCTTTTGATGTATGGCTAACTGTGATTTTACAGGTTGATGTTTTATGTGAATATCAATACTATTTTTTATTATCTTGGAATTCGTGGCCCCGGTGACCCAGACATACTACAAGGTTAAACTGTTTAACATAGTTCAAATACAGTTTCTTGTGATTGCAACCATCTCACATTTCAAAGATTATCATAAAGTATGTCTATTCTATTTAATCCATTTTGTAATGGTGAGATGCTTGGGAAAGAAAATAAGAAAGATACATTGGACATTCTCCATATAATGGATTCATCATCAATGTAGTAAAGAAAAATACAATAACAAAAGTAAAACTAAACTAAGCACAAACACGTTTTATGATATATCGTTAAATATGCATTTCAGTTAATAATATTATGCAAGAGTTTATTTTGTCGCCAAATAATAGCAGTACTAATTTTTAGACTGAAACTTATGAATATCAAACCGATCTTTGTACAAGGGGACATTCACTAAACAGATTAGAAAATGTTATGGTTCACAGATAATCTTCATGATAAAGGCTTTATAGTAAATCTACAACTGTTCAAAAGTGTGACATATTTACTTCTTCATCCTAAGAGGAAATATCTATTAAACATGTGCATTCATAATCGTAAGAAAGACAAAATGACTGAAAAATTTAGATTTCTGCTCATCCAGTAAAAAACAAAAATAATACATAGCTACCACTGACAAAATGGATCACAGATCATTCATTAGGTCTTTCTGTTATGACAGCAAGGGGCCACTGGCACAATGGGGCTAATCTATTTTTTTTTTTTTACATGTAAACAAAAAAATAAAATAAAAAAAAATACAATCAAGCAGGGGGGATATAGTTCCCCCTTGTCCCCACCAATGGGTATCGGAAGAGGAACATCTAAAAAATAATGGGGGTGTAGAGATAATTGTCCATGCCTCCACCTGGTGCTATTAATTAGAAAAACAATGGAGGGTATCCTTGTGTTTACCCTCTTCCTCCATGCATGGTCGGCAGATGGGTGTTATTATTAAACAAGGGGGCTTAGTGTCCTCTACAGCCCTCACCCATGGGCGGTGGGTGGGAGCTCTATTTATAATGCCATGGGTGAACCTAGTATCCCCCCCCCCCATGGATGGTAGGCAAGGGCTCTAATTATAATATTATAGGGACCTAGTGGCCTTCTTAACCTCCTTATGGGTGGAGGGTGTAAGGGTGGTGGGGAGGTGGGGGGAGGACACACCTAGTGACCTCCCCTGCCCCCACTCAGGAGTAAAGACAATAAATAAATATGGACTTGACATTATCCACCCTGGTAAAATATTTTAATTTGATCTGTCCAGCCCTAACCTACCCCTGGGTGGCTAGGGGTTCTCAACTCAGAGAGTCTACTTACCAACGCCATTCACCCTAATGTTATACATCCATACATTATACAACAATAAATACAAATTATACATATATCAGCCAGCTGTTTACTTTATACTATTGAATACTACAAATTGCAAGTTGAATTACATGCTGATTTCATAAAGAGGGATAGTACCTGTTTTGCCACTGAAGGATTAATGGGCAATGACATGTGTATTACACTTTTATATACCTATAAACAGCTTCTCAGTCCCAGTATATTCCCATCACAGTGTTCATGAAGTATTGCACAATGCACAAATAGTACAAAGGTCCATGGAAATAAAAAAACTGAATTCAATGTTAACATTTCCTGTTGGATGCCTTGATATACGTTTTAATGAATGGAACATGTACCCTCATAATTCTGGAAGAATGGGAACATTAGTGGCTCCCTGGAAGCTTTGCCAAAACTTAATTAGGCAAATCTGTCCTTGACTGAAGTTTCTGGTGAACATGTTCTCAAAGTACATCCCACTCTGAGCCGTCTTATTCTCTAAGATTAATGATTGTATCCAGTTGTCCAACTAATGACTAAATATAAAAAATATTTACATTTTATTTGACACTAATGTTGAATAATTCTTCTATTACTCTACGTACCATTTCTGTTTTTCAGATGCCTTGGAAAAACAAAATCCCAATTCATATTCCCAAGGCACATTGAGAGGGAGAAAAATAAATAAATAATACAGTATGTTAGCAAAGATTCTGTTTTTTCTGGATATGGTTGCGAAGGGGTGGCATGAGATTCGGCGTAAGATTCAACAATACTGTGCTTGTCAGTTTCTATAATCAGATGTAAATAAAACCAAGCCTAGTGAGAGTTTATTTAGATTTGACGCTCATTAGGTGGCTGACTGCAGGGTCTTTGAATAAACAGTCAGCAAGACCTTCGAGGGTTAGATAATATGAGAACAACCTCCCAGAACATGCCCAGCACAGTGTTCTACAGTACAGCAGAACACAAGAGTTCTTTTATACAGATGTTAGAGAAACAAATGTACTGCAGACCCTCAATTATACTCCTACATTTAGGATGAAAATAGAGGTGTTTAATCAAGGGTGGCATATGACCAAGTTCTTAAAGTGGATGCCAATTTTAAAAATGCTCCTTTCTTTTGGCAAACAAAATGCATATATTAGGATTGCTAATTTTTCTACTAAAAAATATTACAAATCAACAAATTTTGACCCTTTAAAGTCAACGGGTTAATATACCCATGGGCTAATCATCGGTTAAGGTCATATTTTCAATTGGAAGGAATCTTGAAATAAACTAAATGGTCACTAGGCTTATTCTAGTACTTGAATTACTTCAATATTCTTCAGCAAGAGCGTTAATAAGGGTAAATTAGTTAAAATGTCCTTTCGATTTATCTTCTTAAAGTTGCCATAGCAGTTTACTAGGGAAAGATGGACTTGAATAATTAAAACCTAATCAAGCCGTTAAGATTGTGTTAATTGTGCTCTGGTTGTCTTTAATCATTGGTATATCACAATATTACATGATCACTTGGAGTAAGAAATGTATGCTGCTGAGAATTTCGATAATCTATTTCATCAATAATTTGACATTTGTACCTATGACAAAACACTGTATCAATGTCAATTGTGACACAGGATTAATTTATAAAGAACCACAATTAATTATACTGAGGAAATAGTACACAGATTTGGTTTGAATAACATTAAGAAGAGAAAGATACAGAAACTAAAGAAAGTAAGATGGGTGGGTATTTCAAATATGCTTGGATTATCACTGTTTAGATATCATTAGCATTAAGGTTTCTGATCTTGAAAATTAAATCAAGGTTTAGTAGAGGTGAAAATTATTGCAGTTATATAGTCTAAAACGATGAAAGAGTTGCAGCAAATTTATTTTCAATAAATTCATTTTTAAAACCAAATTTTATTTTATTTTCTGCAGCTCCATAAAAAGTTGGGCCTGCCATCATATGGTTGCACAATGCCAAACATGGCTAACAAATTCATGATTCAACCCCGAAAAGACTCCTATATTTCAGAACATCTGTTCAAGAAATGCAGCTAATACAGGTTAGTGCTACGTTGCCACAATTCTTCCCCCCCACACTTGCAAAAACCTCTGCATTTCAATGCTGATCTCATCACTTTAATGACTGTGCCAACTATGTAATCTTCACCAAAATCAACCCATACTTTTAACTACCTTTTCAGTATCTTGACTCTCAAAGATACTGACAGTAATTTCATAAACAAAATAAGCAACAGCAGAACTGATTTTCTTACAGTAAATAAATATAAAAAAACTGCTGTCACTGCACAATCTAAGCTTGGTCCAATCCTATCAAATATTAATTGCATTATCGCTTACCTATCTCATTAATATTTGTTTTGTAACAGTACTAGCAAACCAGAAAAATCTCAATGTATCCTTCCTGGTAAAACATTTTATAAATACATACATCTTCTTTCAATCCATTTAAACTATATTAATTAATCCAATATTCTTCTCCCTCTGCTTCTAAATGTATAGTTGTAAATAACTTCCTTAACCACTTTTTTAGTCCTTGACCTCAAAATTAAGTTTTCTCTGATTCTCTTGGATTTCTGCTGTTTTGACAGTTTAGATCATCAGCTTATTTTTTGAATACTATATTCATGATAAGCTTTCAGTTGGCTTATATAACCTCCCTCCTCCCAATTCGACCTTATTACTCAAGCTTCCTCTTACTGTCTTTGACATTTAAATAGATAATTAAATCACTTATACTTGGGAACATTTAGTGAATGTAAAATCACAGATACCCTTAAGTACAATACATTATTGTCCTAAACATTAGTTACATCAGTTAAATAATTGATTAACTTCACACTTTTTTTTTTGTTTCAGTTCTCTTTTTCTATAATAGTAGTTAAAGTGGCTTCATTAGGATATAATCATTATGAAATACTGATTGCGTTGGCATTTCATCAAATTCTAATGCAATCTCAAGATACCAAAAAAGATAAAATAGGGAATACGCTATCTTATGGTAAAGCCTGATGGTGACAAAAATTGCCAAAAGTCAGAGCTCTGCTGTCAACCTTTGTTCAATGCCAGCAGACACCACAAGTGACGGCTGTGGGATTCAGGCATGGTGCCTCTAATGGTGAGACACCTATGGAGGATCCTGTGGTCTTGTGGGACCATAGCCCCCTGTGTTTTGTATGCTCATGCACTGGAGACACTCCTAGCATAGAAACTCCATAAGCCCAAGAAGACTTCCAAGAACAAGATGATGAAGACCTTGAGGGACAGGTTCAGGTAAGTAAACCTACTTTCCACTGCTTCCTAT